TGGCCTCTCCTGATCTTTGATACTTTCCACTCCATCTACTGTAGTAGGCTTGGACTCTTCTTCTGCCTCAATCATCATTTCCTCTGTTTTTCTGAATCTGTTACCAAGGTCACCGGGATGTCCTGGCATCGATAATTTTATCTGATGTTTGTCCTTGCTTGTAGAAGCTACTTGCTCTCTTCCAAATTCAGCATCAGTTTCAGTCTTGATGGTAGCCTGTTTGGCATAAATCTGCTTTTGCTCCTCCACAAGCAAGGTATCTTCTACATCCTCCAACAGGAGGCTTTCAGGTCCCATCACCACCTCCCCATTTTCCAAAGCAGTTCTGGGTGGCAGGAACTTTTCGCTTTGTTCTTTTGAAGGAGCAAATTGAAACTCAAGCTGCTGCAAAGCCAAACCATTGCAAGGTTCACTTTCAAGAGCTGCATTTGCCTTTGTCTCCTCAAAGCCTTCACTCCCTTCCAACATGTGTGCACAGGATCCATTTTCTTGGGTTTGGATGAGGGCTTTAGTGAGATTATTCAGCTCTCCATCCACTAAGAGCAGCTTCTGGCCATCATGGATGTTGATATAGCTGTGGGTCATCAAGTGGAACATCAGCCTTTCATCGTCACTCCTTAGCAGAGGGTCACTTTGCTCTTTGTGACCTGTGGGACTCCTTCCAGAAGAGCTCTGGCCATGCCTGCTTCTGCTTGGAGAACCAGCAAGCTGCACGCTGGCCATGACATCAGGTATGGCTGTGGATTTCAGTTTCTTCGCCACATCTCTCTCCAAGATGCCGTGTTCGACAGCTTTCTTCCAGGACAACACCTCAGTGGTTTCTGGTATAAAGACAGCCTTAATGAGCTGCCTCTTGCTGAGAATCTTGTAAACCAACTCCGTAGACAGGATTCCTTGCTCTAAAGCATCTGCAACTGGGACGATCTCCCCCGTCTCTGGCCACAGGAGCCCCATGAAGGACCACAGGGATTCCAGGACCACCAATGCAATCCTCGGTGCTACCAACTCTTTCCTTACAGCTTCATCAATTGTCAGTCTCTCCCCCGTGACGGTATCAATGATGCCACCTGTTTGAAGCTGCCGGATAAGAAGTGTGCATGCCAAATCCTGGTCAATTAAATTATGTCTCACGGCCTCGTCCACAGTCAGCCTGTGCCCTGTCCTGGGGTCAACAATGCCACCAGCAAAGAGGTGGGCTTCCAGCAACCTGACCGTCACCTGCCTGTCTATCAGCCCTTCCTGGACTGCACGAAAGATGCTGACTTTTCTGCCCGATTTCAAGCTCACCATCCCACCCGCCAGCTGCTTGACTGGGAGCAGCCTCAGTCCAGTCTCTTGGTGGATGATGCAGCGGTGCATGAGCTCAGGCAGACTGATTTTCTCAGCAGTGTTGGGGTCAATCAAATCCTTGCCACCCTCCAGGTGAGACAGAAGTCTGGAATAAAGCTGGGGCGTAAGGAGCCTTTCTTGCACCGCTGTCTCCATGCTGATTCTGCCCTGATGGACTTTAAAGCCCCCGGTGACGAGCTCAGCTTCAAGAATCTTTAGCCCAGTGCTCTCACTGATCTTCCCCTCTTCTATCGCAGCAACGACAGGTAGGAGCTGCCTCCCTTCACATCTGACTTCTTCCACCCGGTAGAGAGCATCCTTCAATTCCTGCAGCACCTGGAATGTCCTGAGATCGATGATGTTTCTTGCCAGACCTTTCTCCAAGGAGAGTTTCTCATTGGTCTCTGGAACAACTAAGTCAGATGTGATAACCTGGGCCTCCAAGAGGACGAGGCCAGTGTCCTGATCTATAAGACCTCTCTGCATGGCACCAAAGACAGGGAATATTTCTACCGTGCCAAGATCGATCACTCCTGCCACTGCTTCGTTGCCCTAGAACAGAAAGAGAAGGAAAAGAATTAAATCAAAATCGAGCATTGCCAGCACTCAGATTGTATGAGGTCTAGGGAGGTCCCAGTTTCCAAAAAAAAAAAAAAAAAAGTTTAAAAACCCTAAAGAGGCTAGAAAGGAGTCCCAAAGTGTTTGAAATGCAACTCCAAAGGCATCACAGCACGCAAATTGGTGCATTTGCTAGCTTGCACATTGCCAGCAAGTTTTAATGCTCATCTAGTCCATCACCCAGGGCAGCACTGAGATGCTTCCAACATCCACCAACAGTAACGCAGCAAAGCGGCAAGCAGCAAAACCCAGAAGTGCTCCTAATGCTCCGTGGAGGAACAGAGGGAAGGAGACCAACAAGCACACCAAAGCTGTTCAACAACAACTGTTTTAAAAAGTAAAGACAACACAAATCCCACTGTGTACTCAGAGGAGAAAAAACCCCAAAGAGGCCCACTTCAGGGTATCTAGGGACCTCTCCCAGCGCAGTTTCCACCCTGACTCCTGCCATGCTTAAATCCTGCACTTCCCCAAGCAGATCTCAAGTGCCAGGACAGCCGGGAAACACCACAGAGCCCTGTGCCATGGAGCAGCTCCCCAGCCACACAGACCGGCCATGCGTTAGGGCAGGAGCGCTGCATGCAGGGCAGCTCCCCGAGCACGACCAGCAGCACCCACTCTGCCCCGCTCCAGCACCTCGAAGTAGCTGTGCTCTTCAGACAGGGCAAGGGGAGAAATATAAAAAATTGGAGGTCCCAGCATGGAAACAGTGACAAACTGGGAACAGACCCTCTACTTTGGTGTTTCTGGAGGGGCTTTTCTCTTCTTGCTGGTACCCCCACAGGGAGGGTAATAATTAAGATGATCAAGAGTAACTGCTCTTTGGATGTTTGGGTTTCTCCCAGTCCCACCGGTTGGTTATAAGGTTGGCCCAAACACTAAAAGATTTTTGTGGGGTTAGGGAGGAGCGAATCCGTATTGTGGAATGAATTCCTTTTGCATCCCCAAGACCCCCAGATTTTTTTTTTTATCGGTGAGTCTAACAGCACAGGCAGCTGGGGGTGTTCGTAGCTGCGGCACAGCTCAGTTACGGCGCAGCAGAGGATGCAGCCTCCACCGGGCTGGTTTGCAGTTCCCCCCGCTGCCTTCTGCCGCGGAGACAGGGTGAACCTGCTGGAAAAACCTAAGCTCTCCGCCATCACCGCCAGACTCGGGCATGCACGCTGGGAGATGAACAAGCCGTGGAAAGACAGAGAAGAGGAGTGGAGGGAAAAAAAGGATAAAAAAGGAGATGGGAGGGAAGGGGGGTAAAAGGCTTTTACTTACCCAAGTTGCAGGGTGTGCCTTGAGCAGTTAAAGACAGAGCCTTATGGAGCAGTTCAGCCGTATCACACACAGTGTAAAGCTTGGTGTTAGCGTCCAGCATGCGACTGTTTTGTTTGCGAAAAGAACCCCCCACACAGGTCGTCCTCTTTCACTTTGTGCGTTTTGTTTGTTTAAATCCCGGAGGGTTAGTTAAACTCGTAAGCAAGGATGTCAGTTAATCTTAAAAACAGTTGACATGAAACACAAACTGTACAGGGACACATCATGCTCAATTTAGCGCGTTCTGCTCTGCATTTTTGTCTTTTATAACTTCTCTCTGACAGTTGGATGTTTCCAGCAAGCAAATGTTAAGAGTTCCTCATGCTCCCTCTACAGTGAAGCAACTGCACCGCACAAGAGCTGCGGGGATCATCTCGTAGACGGGCCCGGGATCTACGGCGAAGCCCCACTGCCATCTCTCGTTTTGTTTCCTGGGCTTTGTCGAGAGCGTGAGTGAAAACTGTTCTAGCCTGAGCCCCAAAGCGCGCTCATGCTATAGGAAAACAGCCCAGCAAGCCCTGGAGAAGGCTTTTGCTATAAAGTCATTTTCCTGCCTGGGAGGGAGGAAAAGGGAAAGGAAAAAGCATCCTTTCCACAGGCAGGCTGCTCTCAGCTGCTCTCCTGGCAGCAGCAGAAGCATCAAAACCAACTAATGAGTCAGTTTGCTCACCGTAAGCTTTCTGCTGCCAGAGGGAGGGCTAAAGGGCTTGCAATAGAAAGCATTTACTGCTCCGAGACACCTGAAATGTGCTATAAAGTCCAATTTGGAGAGAAACACTATGTTTAGGTGAAAACTGGACAGGCAGATTTCAAACAGGCAGCCCTGTTGCCCTCTTCCCGTCAGCAGCTCGAACACGGCTTCACTCACGGACCCAACAGCCAAAACCTGCATCACGCGTCCAGACCTGAGCGGGCTGTTGCTTCAGAGTACAGGGAGCCAGCAAGCAAACACACAAATATATCCATCGACACATGTATATACACTTATATAACACGTACACGTATATCTGTGAATGACCGAAGACAGCTCATAACAGAGGCAATAAGGATGCGCTTTCAGCCCTCCCTACCCGGTGAAACAAAGATGGGGACTGACGGGAGCGCTGGTGGATGTGACAGGGAATGGGTCCAGCTACAGTCATGAAGGTGTCCCAGGTCAGCTGAGGGCCTGGGCGATGCAGTCACCTTCCAGTGGGGAGAGCAACCTCATCCAGCCCCAGCTGAGACAAACCTCTTGCCAGACCCCGAGATATACGAGACCACACAGGCAAATGCCCTCCCTTCTGCAGAAACCCACCTTCTGGCGTCTCCTGCATGCAGGCAGCCTGTGAGATGGAGCCCTCTGCGGTTAAATCACTGCGAGGGCATTCCTCGGAGGACACAGATTTGCTAAGGGGACCGTTTCCAGGACAGAGGTCCATCTACATCCTTGCCCACCAAGCGTGGACAAGCCAACCCTTGTGCACAGGGCAGAGCTCTGATGAAAAGCATTGCAAAGGACAACTCTCCCATTGACCTGGAAGGCAGCAGGTAAACGGCTCCTGCTTGGCCTCCCGGGACCACCCCAGCCTGGATGCTTCGGGTGACACGTGGACAGAAGAGAAGGGAGGGCAGCCACGTGCAAGTAAGAAAGTCGACGTGCTGCGAGTGGCTGGTGGCCATGAGACACGCAACCAAGCAAAACCTTTTTGACACCCTGAGGAGTGCCCTGTGTCCGTGCAGCCACAGGACCGAGTGGGGACCAGTACCTTGTGCTCTGTCTCCTGAGCCAGCTGGCTCTGGAGCTGCTGGAGCTGCTCCGTGGAGTGGCTGCAGAGCGCCTGGTAGGTCTCCTTGAGGGCACCGATCTGAGCGGAAATCTGTTCCTTCTCCGAATGGGAAAGCCTGCAAGTGAAAGAGGAAATCTCTCAGGGAAACTGCACAAACCGTCTCCCAGCTCTGCAGAATTAACACGTTCTTCTGGTGAAGGAAAAAGCCAAACCACCACAAGTCCCCTCTTCCCACTGCCCTACTACTTGCCCGGCTCAGCTAAAACCAGCAAGGGTGACTGTGCTCAGCAAAGGCTGACCTGCATTGTAACGATCAAATCCCCAAATATACAGGGCTGGATCACTACTAAAGGGGATTAGTATTGGCCCAGAGGGAATACTGGCTGTACTATTTCATAGCTCTTGTTGCAGATGAAAGCTGTCTTCTTTCTTATCTGCAGCTCATCCCTGTTTTTAACAGGAGTTGGGCACTGCACCCCAGGGACACCAGCCCACCAGCGCCAGGTCTGAGGTATCTCATCTCCCCCCACTGCTCTCCCAGCCTGTCCCCTCCTCGGGCGACACTCACTTGTGGCTGTGCTTTGCCAGGAATATTTGTGAAGTTTTGATGGCCTCAGAGACTTGCTCCTTCTTCGCAGCCAGCTCCTCATTCAGGGCCTGTCAGGAAAAAGAAGAAGGGAAAAAAAAAAAAAAAAAAAAAGAGAGAATTCAGCTGTGGAAAACCAGCAGAAGTTAAGCAAACTGCCTGATGGTTGCCTCTGGTTTACCTGCTGCTCTGAGATGGATTTCTCGATGTCGCCCAGCTCTCTGCTCCCAGCAGCAGCCGTCCTGCCCTGTACGCTCTGCTTCAAGCCCAGGGCCCAGCCCAGCAGTTCCTTCACCTTGTCCACATGCTCCTGCTTCTCCTCCTCCACTACTTTCTGCAAACAGAGGAGCAAGATAACCACATCAAAGGGGGCCCAGATTTCCAAAGGCGGAGATGCTCTCAGGAGCAGCGCCCGAGACCTAAGCTGAACGTGGAGCAGCATCCTCGGAGGTGCTAGGAAATGAGCCCGCACATTTTGAATAGAGTTCAGGTCCGCACAACACCCTTACCTCCTCCTCCTCCAGTCGCCGGAGAGCATCGCTGATGTACTTCACATGCTGCGTGGTTAACGTTACCAGAGCTGTATAGCGAGTCCGCAAATCCATGAACTGCGAAGGGAGAGAGGAGAAACGGGGCGCATCAGTCACGACTGGCGGATCCGGAGCGACGTACTTTACAGTACATGACACGGAAGCACCATCTCTCGCTTGGGAAGAAGCCCCCCAGGCACCTCGCAGACCCGGTACGGCATCAATGAAACGCAGCAAGTCTGATGGGGAGGGTTGTGGCCACACACGGCATGCTGCACAACACTGGAGCGAAGGGGAGACTCCGGTCACGGACACTGGGGCGGATGCTCAACTCTTACAAGAGGGCTACCGGGATCTTTAATATCCACACAGAGCAGACAGGACCTCGGGTCCCTAAAGGTCTCATCCCAAAGATCCACACACAGTAATGCTGCATGGCGCTCTGGTTATTTACCTCGCAAGGCTGAAGGGCTGAGCCGACCCCGCTGGATTTGACCCAGGGGTTCCCAGAAGTCTAGGTATTTCATACCTGGTGCTTAGAGCACTAAGCCATCCTCTCTGGCTATTGGAAAAAACAGCGAGGGTGGAAACTTTATTTATACAAGAGAGTTCAGCAGAAAGGAGCTCATTTCACAGAGGCTGCTCGGCGGTTTGCTCGGCATTGAAGAACCCCCTGCACAACTTCTCCCTCGCAAGGTGGGGCGGGCGGCCGCGCTCCTACCTCCTGAGTGATGGCATCCGAGGACGAGAGCATGCGCCGGCGTTTCATGGGAGACTTCTGCTGCGACTCGACAAATGCCCTGTACGTCATGAGCTGCAGCTCATAGTCCTGCAAATGCAAACAGCAGGGGAAATACATGGAGCATGCGAGACGCAAAGTGTGCTGGGGCCATTTCTGCCCAGCCAGCCTTATCTAGGTTCAGGAGGGGACCTGTACCTTGACAGCAGCTGAGTATTGCTGGGAGAATTTCTGACACTGGTCCAGTTTGGCTTGATTTTTCTCGATTTCTGCAGCCAAAGCCTTCAACAAAATTCAAAGCAAAAATGGTTGTCAGGACAGCTGCCACGGGTGGTGAGCTGAATTTCAGTCCCCATCCCTCCCCTTCTGGGTAAAGCCTTTATCCTCTTCAATTTTTTATGCAATGCCTCATCTCCACCTCAAGCTAAGCAGAGTTTCTTCGCTTCCCAGACACCCAGATCAGGCCTGCAGCCTCTTCCCCACTGTGTTTCATATTTTTCAAGCTCACAGATGAAAAGATTTTAGTAAAAGAAAAGAAAGGACACAGTCACTGCAGCAACCACTGAGACATTACAAGGTCCTGTCTTACCGTTTGCTGGCTCAGCTGCTCCGACAGCACCCGGCTGTCCTCCGCCTGCCCGGGCTTCATCAGCTCCTGCTGGACCGTGATCTCCTCGATCCACTGGATCAGGGCACTGTGGCACTGCCGGTAATCACTCAGCACCTCCTGGATGCTCTCCAGCTCCGCGTGGCTGAGAGAAAAACCAAGATAAGTAAGAGGAGCCACCGTAGGCTATAGGGATATCCCGGTCACCAGCGGGAATCCCATCTGGAAGAATATCACTGCTAACAAGCCTGACCCAAGCTCTGAGTTGAAGTATGAAAGGAAATCTGCAAAAGGAGGCAGGAGGTTTCTCACCGGGTCTCAATCTGGGTGCAGACTCGCTGCCAGCGATCCCACAGCTGGCTTCCCTTCTCCTGATAGCGCTCGAGGTCGATGCTGCGCTCTTGTCTCCGCTGGTACAGCTGCTCTCCCACCACCTTTGCCTTTGCCATCTCCTCCTCCAACGTGGAGAAGACTGAGCTCTTGTCCTTCACTTCCCCAAGCCATTGCTGCAAAATCAGCAAGAGAAAGCACCGGTTCAACATCATGGAAAGGAAAAGGCACATTAAGTCAGAGATGTCCTCCTGCCCGGAGCTGACAAGCCTGAGAAGGGGTTTATCTTCCCACTCTCCTTAACCTGCAAAGAACTGGCTGATGATAGGAGGTGCAAAATGGAGGGGACCACGTTCCCAGCTTGGAGCAAGCCAGATTGGTTCAGCCCCTGTCCTACAGCCACAGGACATGTAGCTGCCAAGATGCTCACGTGTGCCAGCACGTGCCCTACAAGAGAGAGCACAAGCCATAGCAGCTCCTTTACCTCTACAAAGCAATAAGGGATCACATAAGTGGCACAAAATCCTCCCAGCAGCTACATCGAGGCAAGAAAAATGGCATACGGTACAAATTCAGCAGAGAAAGGGAAGGACCCTGCTTGACAAACACCAAAGCGTTGGCCCGTTTCTGCCTGTCAACCTTGGGAAGCGAACAGCACCGACCTGTAACGCCGCTCTGTGAGACTGAATAGCTGGCAGGTCGGCGGGGACTGCTTCCTCTTGGCTCAGCTTAACCTCATAGCCTTTGACCAGGGACTCTGCTCCTTGGGTGTTACGAATAATAACATCAACTGTCTTCAACCTGGCAAATCAAACAGAGGCAGCACAATGACATCCAAAATTTCGCAGAGATCCTCTTGATCCCGAGTCTGTTTGCACCGTGTGCCGCAGAGGGATGGAGCTCAGTGCAAGGTGTGTTAGAGGGCCAGAAGAAAGGTCTTCAGCAGAATCAGGCAGATACAGAAAGGAAACAAATTTGGGAACAGAGGCACGTCCCGACTCACTTGTCCAGGTAGATGGAAGACAGCCCATACATCTGGTCCATCTTGTTCACCACCAAGTCAAGTTCAGAACGCAAGTGGGGTGTGCTGGACCCTGCGGGCGCCTTGTCGAGGAAGCTGTAGCATCTCTCAGAAACAAACCGCAGGTCCGATTGCAGCCGCTGCAGATCCTCCTGCATGCGCTACGGGAGGAAGGTAAAGAATAGAATCAGAATCATTTAGGTTGGAAAAGACCTTTAAGATCATCCAGTCCAACCATTAACCTACACTACCAAGTCCACACTAAACCAATCAAGGGTAGACTAGAAGGTGAAAGGAGAGCCCAAACAGGCGGAGAAAAAGCAGGACTGCCCTTGGCAAAGGAGATGGGTATGAAATGAAGCAGGGAGCCCACCCAGAGAGGTTTCCTGCTACTTTCTGTGCAGCAAGATCCTCTCGAACCCCACACAGTCACGCTCCCACCACCCACATGTTCACCCTGGAGAAGTTAAAAGCTATTTTTGGTGCATGCTAAAGACCAGTGGCCACCACCTCCCTCCCCTCCACATCTCACAGCAGCAAGACTGACCTCCTGCTCTGCAATGCGGATGGTGTTTTCCTGGATAGTATCACCATCTGTTCGGGCGCTGCTCGGGGACTGGATTCGGCTCACTAGCCTCTGCTCACACTCCTCCAGGCGCAGACGGATATTCTTCAGCTCTGAGAGATACGTCCTGGCAACAGTCTCATCCTTGTCTTCTGCAAGTCACAGACAAACCAAAACAGCAGCTCAAACAACCCCAGCCAGTATCTGCCCCAAACAGGACCTGCTGGGAGCCCCGGAGCCAAGCGCAGCATCGTGCTGACACCAAGTCACCACTTAGATGGAAAACAAGTTAATCAAATCATCTCATTCCAACGCAGCTGAGAATGAGTCCAGCCCCAGGGCACCTCGCATGATGAAGCTGGAGTCCCCAGTCTTAGCGGGACTCAGTCCTGCTGGGTCACGCCGGGAGCCATCCGTTGCTCCGAACAGTGGGGCTGTGACTGCCACATGTATTTTCTTAAGGATTAAATGCAGGAAGAACTTGCTCAGAATGTGTCCTGACTAATGACTAAACCCATCTCCAACAATGTTAGGGTAAGAGGACTCAGCAGTTAAGCTGAAGCTGCAAAGCCAAGCCCTTTCTGCAGGAACATCGCTGGACAAAGGCGGAACACTTGAATGGATGGAGAAATAAGGAGAGCAGCTGCTCACACCATCAACTAGCTAGCTCAGGAAAAAAAAAAAAGAAAATGAAGCCATCCCATAAATCCTTTGTTTATGAGTCCCCACAGCTCCTGGTTAATCCATCAGCCCTTTGAAGCTCACCGTTCTCCATGGACTCCAGCAGCTGCCGGATGTGTTCCTTGGAAGACTCCACTTCCTCCTCCAGGCGCAGCTGGTCCGACACCGAGAAGAGCTCCGAGTCCCGGCTGTCCTGCAGGAAGTCCTCGTAGTGCGCCTGGAGGCTCTTCACGGCTTGCTGGCACTCCCCTTGCGCCAAGGATCTGAGCTGCAAGTGGAACAGCAGCACATCTAACCACCGACAACGACTTCCTACACATCACTGAAGCCACCCTCCCCAACTTAATCGCCTTCGTTTGCCAAGTGATTATTTTCTCTTTAGAGGAGAAAAGACAAGCTCCTCCGTATCAGCCTCACACCTCCCCCCAGCCTTGCTCGCTCCCTAATGAAACGCTAAGTCCCCAATCTCTTAGGCTTATTACAGTTCAGCGGCAAACTGCTGATGCTCTTTTTATTGGAAAGACTGCAACCGTTTTGCACAGAACCCCCAAGCTCAGGTTTTCCCACTGTTCAAGGTGCACAGGCCCTTGACTTCCCCAACCTTGCAGTCTCTGGTCTTCCCTTTAATGCTTCCTTTCCTCCTCAGCCACACGAAGAAGCCTGGACAGTGAGCAACGCAGCCCTGGAGCCAGGCAGAGAAGTTCCTACCGTACCTTTTCCTTGCTGAAGCTTTGCACCAGGGCTATGTCCTTCCGCAGGTAGTTCCAGGAGATGAGGCTCTTTGTGTTCACGTGGAGCTGGTGCCAGAGAGCCATCACTTTCTGGTACAACTGTTCTACCCTGCAAGGGGAAGGAGCAGATCCGTCAGCCCTGGATCTCTGCAGCACGCTCAGCCCTGACCCTGTTAATCCGGCAGACATCGCTGCCAGCCAGCAGCCCAGCAAGGCAGCGATCCTGGCCTGGCAGCCCGCAGCGAGCGACGCTCCTGCCGCTCGGTGCGAGGGATCCCTCCTCCCAAATCATCGTTTTCTCTTTTGCAAGCTACTATAGCAGTTGCTGCGATGGAGTTTGCAGCTGTATAACCATGAGGGATTCTTTCCCTCGCCCCGAATCAGCT